GTCCCCACCGCTCCCTGCCTTCCCAGGGGTCCGCGGGGGCCAGAGGCCACGGGCGTGGGTTCCTCACCTGCACGGAGCACCCGCCCGGTGCTGGCGCTGTGCTCAGGGCACAGGACACGCGACAGGCCAGTGACCACACTGTAAAGGCGACTGGGGACGATTAGGGGTCACGACTTCACTTAACCTCCACGACAACCCGGAGCGTCCCTTGTTGCTACTCTCAGGACGTCTTTTCCGTAGGCTTGCAAAAGTCTTCATTTTCAGACTCTCCCTGCGCTCTTTCTTTTCCTAGCCCTGCCTCGTGAGCCCTGACAGTGTCCACACCTGCCACTGAACGAGGACAAGGGGCAGGTGTGGGTGTAGATCGTCCCAGGTGGTAAACCCTTTCTCCTCTTGGATCAGGCCCAGTGGATCTCTCTACCTCTAGAAATTATTTTAAATCACAAGAGCAGTATTCTCACTAGGATCAGAGAATGGGTCCAAGACGCTTTCAGGGCTTTCGTTTCCCCTGTGGAGGCTGAGAAGATAGACAGAGATCTCTGAGGGTTTCCTCCAGCAGCTCCCGCAGGGCCCTAGCTCTACAAGTTTCACAGCAGGGGACAGAGCAGGAAAGCTTTAATGTGATGTCTTGGGATCCCTAATTCTTTCCCCCTCACTTTGGGGATGTGGGGATGGATCATGGGGATCAGGGGATCTGGGCTCAAGCCTGGCTCTATTTGTTCCCTGCCTTTTCTCTCTGTACTTCCTGTTCCTTGGCTCCCTGCAAGCCAGCTCCATAGATGCGGATGTGTGCCATGTTCCCTGAACTGGGCCTGGGGGCCCTGAGAGGCACCAGATCTGGATCTGTCCCTGAGAAACTCACAATTTGCTGGAGAAATCAGAAGGAACAGACCATCTCAGGCAGGATAGGGAAGTAAAAAGGAAAATGCGGGGACAGTGGACACAGAGGGCCATCATCTGAGGGAGCAGGGAAGGGCTTTGAAGGGATAGTATCCTCGAAGGTCATTATAAGGTCAAATATGAGAACTGGAGGCTATTGTTATTGTTCTCAGCAAATCCCTCCCCTGAGCTGTAGTTGTCTGCTATAGTTGTCTGCAGAAGTTGTCTGATTGAGTGCTCTAATGGTGGTGAAGTCTGACCTTTATTTATTGCAAAGAGTGTGAGGACTAGGAATCCTTTAGGAAGGAGAGAGATTTCCCTGTTTTGGAGAGCACCTGCAGAAGAAAATGCTCTGCTTTGGTGTTTGGCAAAATGGGGAAACCTCTGACAATTTCCAAAATTCTTTTCCAGCCGATATTAAATTTATTGTTCTGGACAACCCTGAAGGTTCATTGTGTCACTGAGAGAAATAACAAGCACAATGTCACATAGCCTTCGATGGCCTAGGTGGGACCAATATCTGTCTAACTAATCCCCATTGGAATCTTTTTTTTTTTTTTTCAGTATTGGCAGTCAAAGCCATGTACCCCTGAGCTACTGAGCTACACGCCCCCCCCTTTTGAGACAGGGTCTTAGTTATGCATTCTAGCCTCCCCAATAGCTGGGAAAATAGCATGTGCCAACAAGCCCAGCATCCTAGCTAAGGCCAGGAGGTCAGAGAGTCCAGCACCAGAAGGGACATTCTTTCAGGAGGAAAAGGTAGGTAGGGAGAACTCATACTTGTGGAGAACACACCGTGAACTGGAAACTGTGCTCTGTGCCTTCTCATTGTTTCCTTTAATCTTTACAACAACCCTATAGAGTCTCCCTCTCTCCATTAAGTAAATAAATATTCATTGTAAAACAAAATTAGAAGAATGCTCAGTGGCACCACACCTGCCTTGCAAATGCAAGGTCCTGAGTTCCACGCCCCCCCATACTATGAAACAACAGCATCAAATTAGAGGGCTAGGAGAGCAACCCAGTGGCAGATTGTTTGTAAGTATGAGGACTTGGGTTCCATCTTCAGCACCACAAAAATAAGAAAACACAGGTAGACCAAAATTTAAAAAATGAAAATCACCCATTATCTTACCAGATAAAAAATATCCATTAATAATGGGTAAGACCCTGGGTTCTATCCCCAGCACTGCAAAGAAAAACAGTGTCAATAACTGTCTTGGTATGGAGTCTTACACACACAACCACAACCACACACACACACACACACATGCATGCATTCACAATTATGCACCCACTTTATGGATAGGAAAATGAGACTACAGAAGTTAAATAATTTGTCCACGATTAGACAGTAACCAGTTCCAGTCACCTTCTGGGTGACCTTAGGCTGGTCATTTTCCCTCTCTGAATTAGAGCAAAAATTTCTGCAGATGGAAGAGAGTGAAATTTGGCCCCAGGAAAGCCCCTTCTACATACTGCTCAAAACAGCATCCTCTTGACCTTGGCCTCTTAACTTGCTTAGGGAACTGCATCCCTTTTAGGGTCCAGAAAGAAAAGCTCCTTCCAGATGGTTGCACTGAGATGACTGCAGTCAAGAAAGAATGACAGCCCACGGCCAATCCCCAGCTACAGTAGACAGCTCCACTCTGTAACCAGCGATCTGTGGCCCAAGAGGCACTGGTGCCCAGCCTGGCTGTGTGTGTGGCTCCCAGCTGGTCCCTGGGCTCTAGCCTGGGCACAGATCAGTCCCTCTGCACTTGCCCCTTGCCCCAGCTGTGCCTGCCTGATGGCATGGACTCAGCCACCGACTCAGCCTGGCCATCAGGCTCAGGTAACAGCTTGCAGCTCCCACAGCTGGAGAAGCAGAGGAAAGATACACGTGTACCAAGTTCCTCAGAGTGTCAGCTCAGGAAGGATTTGTTACATCCAGTGCAACCGGAGCCTGGGGTCCCCAGACTCACCATAGCTGGGCTTATCTCTCACTTTGAAGTAGAAAGAGAAAGAGAAGTCAGAGAAGACCAGTGCAGAGCAAAAACTTTATTGCAGGTGTTGTTTACATCCAGTGCAACCGGAGCCTGGGGTCCCCAGACTCACCATAGCTGGGCTTATCTCTCACTTGGAAGTAGAAAGAGAAGTCAGAGAAGACCAGTGCAGAGCAAAAACTTTATTGCAGGTGTTGCAAGAAGAAGGGGTACAAAGCCACTCCAGAGGAGTGGGAGTGCCCAGAACTGGGTCACCACTGAGTCTGGAGCTGCAATCCCGTTTTATGGGATAGGGCCCTGTCTGCACCTCCCTGAGGACTGACACTTGGTTGATTGGATATTGGGCTTGTTGCTAGGGGTTTGGTCTTATGGGTTAATAGGGGAACTTGGGTAGGCATGGCAACCTGCACAAGGAGAGACAGTGCTGCCTGCACAGAGGCAGACATCAAAACCACAGCCTGTCAGCTTCAAACTGCAAAGCTGTGTGAAAACTGCTTACTGCTCATAGCCACACAGAGGCTGCTTTTTCTACTCAGAAGGGCCTGAGTCTTTATTCAAGCCCTACCGAAGGGTCCCTTCTGTCCCTGCAGGATCTTTCCCTTCTCTTCCAGAATGAGGCTCACGTCTCTGGAGAGAAGTGACCTAGTGGTGGTGGACCGTAAATCCAGAGAGGAGTGGGGACGGCCGCTCTAATCTCCTGATGCCAGCAGGCCTCTTCCCCACCCTGGGTGACCAACCTTATCTTGCATGTTCTTCTTGATCTGCTGTCTGTTTTACCATGCAATCTTTAAGACACACAAAACAACATAAAAAATAATACAAGAACCACCCATGTACCCTCCACTAAGTTTAAGGGGGGAAAAATGGATCAACTCAGTTTGAAGTCTCCATTCTCACTCACATTTTTTGTTTTGTTTTGGTTTTGGTTCCGGGGATTGAACCTTGCACTTGTGGGGCAGGTGGTGGCACCACTGAGCTAAATCCCCAGCCCTCCCACATTCTTATTTATGCTATCGTTCATGTATATATCTTTGAGTAATGTAAGAAGTTGCATGGCCCAGAACTTAGCTCAGTGGTTCTGCCTCCTGCTTCTCAAGCACAAGGACCTGAGTGTGATCCCCAGTATCAAAAATAAATAAATAAATGCTTGCAGTATGATGAATGTGCTTTTTCATTCAGTTTATGTTGTGAGCTATATCTGTACTGATGTGTATGCTTTGTCTAGTTTATTCATTTTTGCTGCTGTTTTCTTTGTTGTTGTTGTTCTTTATTTTTTTTAATTAAAAAAACTTTTTTTTGGGTGCTGGGAATTGAACTCAGAACCTTGCACTTGCCAGGCAGGCATGGTGCCACTGAGCTAAATCCTTAGCCATGCTGCTGTATATTTATCCATTTCGTGCATGATTATCCATTCTCTTAGACATTTCAGTCTTCCTTTTTTTAAAACAGGGTCTCACTATGTAATCCTGGCTGGCATCAAACTCATGATCCTCTCTATTTGTCTTTCTGATTCTGGTGTGAGATAGATCTGATTGTGTTTTTGGTGCCTCAGGGATTGAACTCAGGACCTTGCCCTAGCAAGGTGCCATTGAGCTAAATCCCCCCCCCCTTGGTTTTAATTTGCACTTCCCTAGTGATTAGGATGTTTATTTTTTTTTTTTTTGGTATATTTGTTGGCTCTTTGTGGATCTTCTTTGAGAAATATTTATCCAGATCCTCAGGTAATTAGTAGTTTTAATTGGGTTAATTGGAGAGTTGTTTTCTTGCCATTGAGTTCCTCATATGGTTTGGATATTAACCCCTTATCAGATGTATGGTTGCAAATATCTCCTCCCAATCCATAGGTTGTCTCATCACTGTGTGGAAGCCTTTTA